GGTGAGCATCCTGCTGACTTGAATATGAAGAAAACTGAAAGTTGACCCTGTTCTTCAGGCGGGCTCCCGTTGCTTCGACTTGAAATAAACATGAAATCTGAGTAGACTTGAGCTTGCAAACCTTGTCTTTCGGGTGGGCTCGTGCTACTTCTGATTTGAACTAAAATTTCCCCTATTCTCCAGGCGGGATCCTGCTATCTTTGACTCGAAACTTGAAAACTGAAAGTTGACCCTGTTCTTCAGGCGGACTCCTGCTGTCTTTGACTTGAATCTTGAAAACTGAAAGTTGACCCTGTTCTGTAGGCGGGCTCCTGATGCCTCTTCGACTTGAACTTGAAAACTGAATGTTGACCATGTTCTTCAGGCGGGCTCCTGATGCCTCTAACTTGAACTTGAAAATTGAATGTTGAACCCGTTCTTCAGGCAAGATCCTCCTGCTTGATCTTGAAGGAAATTGAAAGTTGACCCCGTTCTTCGACTTGTAGTGCCCGAAGGGTTTTCACCATCAAGCCTCTCTCATTTTGTTCTTTGACTCTCTCATTTTGTTCTTTTCTTCTTATTTCCTCTGATTCTGCAGATGACAAGGCATTAACCATGGCAAAAATATCAGATGTTCCTGGCATGGCGAATTCAGCACTCTCAAAGATTATCTGGGAGGTCTTTTTTGGACTGTAATGTGGCTTTTGTACATGGCTAGAAAGAAAGAATATCATAAAGGCTCAAAATAACTAAGATAACAGGGTTAATTTATTTACAACTTTTGGAATCCATTTTCAAACTTTGCCCCAATTTCTAAGAGAATTTGATTCTCTCTTCTCTCTTTTTTTTGAGATGTAATTTATAAGAAAAACTGCCCCGCTCTTGACTTTGCGGGATTATGAAATATTGTATTTGGTGCAACCGAACCGTAAGGCTGCCTACGTATCTTGTGGTGACAAGAATCAGGTCGAACGTAGTTCACACTTAAAAGTTATTTTGTTGCTCTTTTCCTTTCCTTTTTTTTCTTTTTTTTTTCTCTCTTATTTTTTTCTTTTTGATTTTTTTTTTGGAATGAACTTTCTAAAACAAACCTATGGGGACATGAATTTTTTTTTTATGACTCTAACTTGATTCCAAAAGAGGGGAGGTCAAAGAAAATTAGCATAGGCCCAAAAGGGGTACCGAATAGTATAAGGTGTTTGGGTAGCTGAAAGAGGGCCACCCAATCTCTGAAAATGCCAAGTACAACACATGTAACTTGAGGATGAAAAATAAAGATCATGCACAACACTCCTTCTGCAGCATCGACATTAATATCACGGATATGCCTTCCACTTTTCTTTAGTGCCTTGTCGGGAGTGTTGAACTCTTGTAGGGTAATACTTTTCCACAATGAATACCATCTGTCAGTTTGGAGCGAATTCCCTTGGATTTGTCCTGTAACTTGAGATGCACTTGAACTCAGAGTTGCTCGCTTCAAATTGTCTGAGACACACTCTCTTGTAACAAATTCTTGTAGTCCTCTTAACTTCTTAAGAATAACAATTAAATAACATGGTCAGCTGACTTCCTTAATCTAAGCCAACATAAACTTCTTAAGAACACAAGAGCAAACACAAAGTGCAAACAAATATTTCGGTTAAACATGGACAACAACACAAGTTGAAAATTAAAGAATGAACAAGAGTTAGAATTGGACCTTTAATTGAGCTTTTCTAATTGAAAATATCCTCTAACCGGTACACCCAAGAGATGTCGACGGCAAAAATAGAATTCCAGTGAAATCCGATTGGAAAACAAGCACAACAACAGAAACTTTGGCAGGAACCACAAACGGCAACCTCAACTCTGAATCGTACTCGAAACCACTCTGTCTCCGCAACACTCTACTCTCTGTTTTGATCTTCTTCCTTTTGGGATGGGAGTAAATAATAAACTGAATTTTTTTGTTTAGAGCTTTTCTTTATGAAACTGGAATCTAGAGATCGAAGCGGGGATAAAAATATTTTTTCGAAATTGAAGGCTATACTAGAATCAGAAGCTAAAATATTTTTGGTGTTTTCTCTAAATCTAAATCTATAAAGCTAGGAGATGAAACAGATGATAATAGTATTTGTTTTTTGATTTTATTTATGGTTTTAACTGAAGAACTAAGATGACTTAAAGAATTGTTTTTCACTTTTCTCCAGAATGCTCTCTATGTTCTGTATTTCCACTGTCCGTTCTCTCCCCTCCCGATGTGTGCGTGTTTCTCTTTTCTATTTTTGTGTGCAGGTTTTTGGTTAGGTTCTAAGGTTGGAGGAGTTAGATGGGTCGTTGGGTGGCAAGTAGAAGGTGAGATCGGGTATGTTGCTGCTGCTAGGGTCCTAGGATTAGTGGAATTAGGTCTCTTTTTAGGGAAGTGGGGGTATGGGCTAAGGGCTTAATTTCGAAAATGGGCCTAAAAATAGATTGTTTTAACCCAAATTTTATTGTTTCTCATTGAACAAGACTAAAAATACTACTTGCATATACTAATTAATCCTACTTAAGTAGAAATAACTATTAAAATAAAACTAACCGTTAAAACAAACCTATTTTTGGTATTTTTTAAATATTATACTAAAAAATAAAAATGGGATTAGATTAAAATCATCGCAAAATTAAAATAATATTCCTACCATAAATACTAATATTCCTGAAAACAAAGTGGAACTATTTTTGTATTTTCGAATTTTTAGGCAGATAAACTAAAAGTAACTAGGTAAAATATTAATTAGGAGAAAGTATTTTTGTAATTTTTATTTTTGTGATAAAATAAAGTAAAAGAGTCAAAACTAGTTAAAATAGCGATATTAGACCTAAACTAAAAATTTAAACACTAAAGTGTGTAAAATCTCGGGGAGGGTCAAAAATTACATGTCTACATCTTCGAACCAAATTTACAACCTCAATGAGAACATATAAAATGGTGAAATGAATATGAGGATTCGAATTAGTAACAGTCAATCAGCAGGTGTTCAATCTATATTAACGGTTAGTAGGTGTTAATCAACACCTATTATAGCAACAGTTACATATTTACCATACCCATATGTGTTCAATCTAAATTAACAAAGAATAATGTCATAGTACATTAGAAAAGGGAACACCAAGTGTCATAACATTGACAGCAAATTTACTAACATTGACAGCAAAGGAAACATTAGAAAAGGGAACACCAGCTGTTAATAACATTTAACACCAATTGTTACTAACATTGACAACAAAGGGAACATTAGAAAAGGGAACATCGGCTGTTAATAACATTTAACACCAACTGTTACTAACATTGATAGCAAATTAATAACACCAACTGTCATAACATTTATAACACCAACTGTCATAACATTCATAACACCAACAGTGATAACATTCACATAATGCACTTCATAGAAGTCCATACATCAACCAGTATCAACCAGCAAAAAAATGTACTGTCATAGTAGTAATTACATCAACCAGCAAAAATAACAATTGTATTGTCATAGCAGTAATTACAAGCCTTTTAAACTTAAAATTCACAAAAACTTTCACCACTTAAATAACTTTCCACCTTTAGAGCAAGTCACATTAGTTTTGTGACTTGCCATTACCCTTTCTTGTCTTCAACTTGGCCATTTTTTCAAGCTGGTTTCCTGTTATAGATTTCTTACCATTTCAGTTGAGATTCTTAGCTGAGTATGGTAGGTTTGAGGGCACACTCACACCAGATGAGTCACCAACAAAATTGATGGTCCTTGTTATAGCCGGTATGGTTCCTTGCTGTCTCATAAGCAGTCTTGTCATTTCTTCAGAGAAACTCCTTGGCCTAATATCTGGGGCAGAATCTGATTCAAAATCAGAAAACTCAAAATTTAGTGGGACACTGTTGATTTTTTTCAAATCAAAACAGCTAGATATAGTAGAAAGATTAGACAAATCCACATCGGCACCTTACCTTAGGGCGTGCACATTTGTAAAATTTCCTACCGGGGTTAGATGGAGTGGTTGATGTGAATGATTGGCAATAATACCACATCGACACCTTCTCTGAGAGGAAGTAATGCTCTACGACATTAAATCTCCCCTGAGAGGATAGAGTCGAGCAAACGAGAAGAAAGAGAATTTGTGCAATTTGTGCCTGAACCTTATTCTTCATCGACTGAAATGTCTTATGAGGGAGACTAATTAACCGTGGGGCGGGTTATTATAAGGGTGGGCGGGTTTCTAATAGAGACGGGTCAAAAATGCCTAGTTGGCAAGTTATTTTGGGGGTCTCGGTTGTCACGTAGGAAATCCGTTAGGTTTAGGTAAAACGGGGTATTAACGTGACTAATTTTCAATAGTAAAAATATAATTTTGGCCTTTTTTTTTTCTGCTCTAAAACACTTAGATTGACTTAAAAGAAGATGATCACACTTAGACTTTTCCACTAAAAAGAAAAAAAGAATTGGGAGGAGAAATTTTTTTCATCAAATGAAGGAAAAAAGTTACTATAAAACTGCATGCGTAGCTCTTAAAGTCTCCTTGCACTTTCACTTAGGATACCTCTAAAGGAAAATTCTGCCTTCTCGTTTTCTTTAGCTTTCTCTTCCTTGAATTTTATCTCCAAACACAACCCATTTTCTTTTCCTTATAACTGTTGTATATGTGTAAGGTTACGCGCACCTCACCTATTGCATTGGGTACCCGCTACTTTTTCCCTATCAAGGTTTGGGTAGACAGGAGGAAATTACCTTATTTTTTGTCTACAATTGGGAATTTGACCCATGTTTACAACGTTTACATCCACTTTATTAATTATTAGGCCACGTCCTAAATGCTCGTCTCCGAGCGAGCAAGGATTTTAGAAGCCACTTTCAACGTATTTCATATCGTAAAAGCTGATCAGTAAAATAGTTACATGCCATCTCACTTTTCAAAAGAACGAAATTTACTGGTAAAATCCAAAATTTGTACAATTACATAAAACCTACTACTAATCTAAATGCAACTTTAAGGACTTTCAGAGGATGTAGAAGTAGAATTTGGAGTAGTAGTTCATTGCTTGAAAAAAAAAAATAGTCTACAACAGTTCAAGAAGTTACATATATTATATATACATTTTTAACAAATTATAACGTACATATATACAACTTATATATACAAAATATTCACTCAGCGACATAAATTGCAGAACTTGTGTGAAAAAGCGAGCTAAAGGGGTCCATAGGTAGAACGTTTGTACAATCATGCAAAAAATAGATTAAACAGAGAACCACATTTAATCGGATATTGCCATACATAAAGAAAGTTTGGCCAAAAGAGAGGTGTCAAAATATTTTCACTTGAAGTTTCGATCTCATGAGTCCCCTCCATGAATCGTTCAATATACCACAAAAAACTGCTAACATTGGCCTTCCAAGATTAGGGTTGCTTGAAGATGCTATACCACACATAGTAAGAACGAGCTTAGCAGGTTCAACTGAATTCATTGTTTTCTGCTCGAACCATATATACATATGGAAAAAAAGACTTACTGTATGTATGTAATCGATCACAACCATTCTGAATTCATCTTCGATGACTATGGACTTATTTCTCGCACTGAAACCATTAAGCCACCCCTAAAAGACGCAGTAAGACCAGGAGAGAAGCGTGGCGTGTGATATGGTTGAGCTAATTCGACATTAAATTGCCTTAGCAACGAAAGAGCCACACTTTTAATCTCAACAAGTGCCATCTCTTTTCCCAAACAGACCCTAAGTCCAGCTTGAAAAACTGGATACTTGAATGGATTTTCTTGAAAGAAAATACCATCTTTCAACCATCTTTCAGGCTTAAACTCCAAAGAATCACAACCCCATAATTCTTCCATTCTTCCCATAGCATAAGGATGATAAGTAACCCTTGTTCCTTTCTTCACAAAAGTCCCATCAGGTAAAATATCATCTTCTAAACAAAACTTTGAATCAAATTGGATAGGAGGGTAAAGTCTCATACTTTCACAAATCGAAGCTTGTAGATAATGAAGCTCACTCATTTGTTCACAACTTGTGAGATCTTTATTTGGACCAACAACTCTATCAGCTTCTTCTCTAATGGATTTAGCCACTATTGGATGTTTTGCAATTACATAAAAGAAACTTGTTAAAGCAGAAGCAATAGTATCTCTACCAGCTAAGAGAAAACTTATGACAATATCTCTTAAATAAGTTTCATCACTTATTGTTCCCATGAATCTTGAAAGAAGATCCCTATGATTTGAAAAACCTAATTTTCTCTTTTGTCTTATGACTTCTTGTGCTAGTATATTGATCGATTTGATTGCTTTCTTCAACTTTCTTTCACTCCCTATGTTTAAAAATCTTTTGATTTTCCAAACAATAGGGGATGTAGTCATAGCTCTTTCAGCTGACAATTTTGATGCTAGGTCAAAGGAAATAGCAAATTCTGAGATGGGTAGTGAAGATTCTAAACATTTAGGGTCCAACCCAAAGGAAAATCTACAAATATTATCAAATGAAAATCTCCTAAAAACATCTTGAAAATCCAAAACCACACCTTCTTTTTCAGCTAAAAGTGGAAGAAGCCTCTTTTGAATCTCATTATGTACCACTTCAAATGCATATGATCGTATGGAGACTTTTCCAAGTTCAAGACTTGACATTCTCCTTTGAAATCGCCATAAATCGCCATCAACGTTGAAAATACCACGACCAAGAAAATCACCTAAGATAGTAGAGAAAGTTTTCCCTTTTGGGTAATTATCAAATCTTGTTTTAAGCATATACTCAACGTTTTCAGGATTCGCAGTGATAGTATTACCAAGAACATGGATATGAATGGTTCTTGTTGGTGAATTTTGAAGAAGGTGAGTGTACCAATCACACAAATTGGTGAATTGTGAAGACCAACTTGTTGTGACATAAGCATGGCAAATTTCACAGTTGCACCAAAGTTTTAGCTTCACTATATAGAAAAAAAGAGAGAAGAGTGAAAATATTATGAAGATAAGGATAGAATAGGCATGAGAAGACTTCAACCACCAACAAGTTTCAAGATCCATGGGAAAAAAAGTAGATGAATTCTTAGGATAAAGATAAAAAGATGGAGAAGATAGAAAACCAATGGGAGAGGAAGGGGAAATGAATTGATCAAAATTGATATCTCAATATTCTAATAAAGAATACACGTTCACACTTACTCTACTATAATGCTTAGAAAACGACACATTATATAATAGCTTACTCTAGTTCTCCACTAACTGTACTACTATTAAAGATTAAAGAAATAATCATTAAAATCCAAAAAAGAAAAGAGAATAAGAGCATAATTAACGCGTGGATTGAAGAACAAGACAGTTAGAAGACGCATCTTTTCTGAATCACGTATTGACAGTTTGTACCCCAATATTTAATCACGTGCTTTTATTTATTCTTTCATTTGCAGTAGGTATTGTACCACATGCTTTGCAAAAAATTAAATTAGCACTACACTCGACCATGTGACATTTTCATATGCAGGGGGCATATTGTCTCGTTCCTTCCAAGGATTAATACAATTCCAAAGAGCATAAAATCTGCTATTTCTGATCAGAGGCAGAGGTAGAATTTTAAATTTGTGGGTTTGGGATTCTAGAATGTTTATGTTACTGGGTTTTAAATTAACAATTTATACATATTCAATAAATCAGGATCTAGGCCAAAGTTACAAGGTTCAGCCGAACCCGCAAATGCGATACTAGCTCCGGCCCTGTTTATGATCTTAAATAAATATTAGTTTTTTTTTTCCAAATATTTGATGCTTTAAAAAAAGTAAAGTCATTTATTTCTTTTTTTTAAATATATATTCTATTGATGGGATATTAATTAAACGAGACGTTTAAGAAAAAATAGAAGACATTTAAACAAATACACCTACTATTAAACTATTAATATAGGAGTATTCTTAAAGAGTGTGTTAGATTCCTACATTGGCAGTAGAGGGAGGGACTTGGTCTTCTCATATCGTCTTATGCAACATTTATATTTTGGGGTTGAGTTAAGCTTAAAATATGTTCTTATATGGTTATTCAGGTTTATCCAATGAGCCCCATTTTACATTGTCCATCAGTTGGCAGATTTGTGGGTGTATGGGTGTAATTGGTAGTTGATGTGGGAGATTTGGTCTTCTTATATGATTTTGGGCAATCTTTACCTCATAAGTTATCTGCGTTAAGTTACCCTAAGGTCCATAACATACAATAATGATATTTTATATGGCTCTAAATCATGACAATGATACTTTATTCTAAAAAGTAATTACTCTTAAGTCTTATTTAACTAGATAAAAATGTAATCTTTAAATTAAAGAATCTAATTATGTTATCACATGTATGAGGCATTTAAAGAAGAAATTAATCTTGCACATTAATCTGTATTTTATCTCTATCTCTAGCAAACATGTGACTAAGATAAAACCAAAAGTGGGGAACAGGTCACATAATATATGATATAGAACGAACAAGCAGTACATTTAGGGCAGACAAAGTGGTAGTTTGATCAGTACTATTCTCGTGCTATTAAATATATTTGTGGCTGCAGTTGACAGATTCTTTTGGAAAAGGAATAGAGGGAAGCCATAGGCCATGAATGCACGTTTGCTTGTTAGGTTAAACAGGCAGCTATCTGCCAAATATTTCTTTTTAAAATTAGTTCGCATGCAATAACTTATGTTGGTGCTTTCATCAAGAAAGATATATCTAACATTCTTCGCCATTGCACAGAAAGAAAATCAGGGGAAAAAAAAACAGCAGTATATAATTACATAAATAGAAAGATTGATGAGATTCCAAGAACCTAACTTCTTGGATTATGTTAATGGGAGAATGAATTATGAGCGGTTCAATACAAATGTGTGCCAATTCATCCAAATATCATTTTAATTTAGTTACTGGACCGCATTTAAATATTTAACTTTATTCAATAAATTTTTAATACAAATACAAGTTATAAGCAAAAGCTATTAGATTTGCCAGAACCAGCTTTGCACCTAAATTCATCGGCAGGGGCGGATAAACCTTAGCTCAAGCGGTGTCATGGATCGGAAAATTTTATTAACTGTGTATATATTATTAAAATCCAAAAGCAAAATGTCACAACCCGAAATTCCCACCGTCAGAATCGTGATGGCGCCTAACTCTTAGAATGCTAGGCAAGCCAACAGATACAGTTCCAACACATTAATCATTAATCAAAATAGAAATTTACAATAATTAAAACTAAACAGATATGAAGTGCGGAAATTTTATAACAGTTTAAATGCTCTAGTACAAGACTACCCAAAAGATCTGATGTCACAATCCACGAACGTCTAAGAATTTCTACAAACACTACTTTCAAGGAAAATACATCTGTTTTTCGGATGAAAGAAAACAGGAATCTAAAATAGAGGGATGGGGACTCCAGGGTCTGCAAACGCCGGCAGATCTACCTTGGGTCTCCTGTGGACTGAAGGCAGCAACCCAAACTCTGATCAGTGTGGTCCAGTCCGGGATCTACACAGAAACTGCAGAGTGCAGTATCAGTACAACCGACCCCATGTACTGGTAAGTACCGAGCCTAATCTCGGCGAAGTAGTGACGAGCCTAGGACATGACAAATAACATAACCTGTGCAGTTAAACAATATGCTAACAGAATAACAATTAATAGAAGCTAAGCAGAAATTAACATGAAGGGGGCAACATGCTATGGGATACCAAAATAAAGACTCACAGCAGCAGAGAAATTTAAATAGCTAGTACACTTTGAACCGGTAATAATAAGTAAACACAGCAAGCGAAAAATGCACGGCATCACCTTTCGTGCTTTTACTCTCAGCCTCACCAGGTAATCAATAATAGAAACGTGCACGGCATCACCCTTCGTGCTTTACCACTCAACCTCACCAGATAATCAATAATAGAAACGTGCACGGCATCACCCTTTGTGCTTTACCACTTAGCCTCACCATATGAATAATATAAATGTGTACGGCATCACCCTTCGTGCTTTATCACTCTTCCTCACCACATAAGAAACAACAGAAACAATAACAACCCGATAAGGGCATCATAATTAAACAATTTTGTTTCATCACTTAACTTCACAACATAAATCTCAACTTGAGCCAATACTCAACCAATATCCAAAAACCAGGAAAAATATAATAAGACTTGTTTAACATGACTAATAACCAGTTTAAGCAGGAACAATACGTATAAAGAAACACAACGGTCACAAGTATAAGACTCACTCGCATGCTATGACCCGACTACAACATATATATACTCGTCACCTCACCTATACGTCGTACTTAACAACTAAACATGTAGAAAATAACGCAACAATACCTAATCTCCCAAGCTAAGGTTGGCCACAATACTTACCTCGATTCCGCGGCCAAACTCAAGCCTCCAATACTGCTTTTCCCTTAGTTTCCACTTCCAATCCGCTCGTATCCATTCATAATTAACTTATTAACATCAATTAACACTGAAGAAACCAATTCCAATGCATAAGTATAGATTTTCCATCATTTTCCCCGAAAAGTCAAAAATCGACCCCGGGCCCGCTTGGTCAAAACTCGAAATTCGGACCAAAACCCGATTATTACCCATTTACCCCCGAGCCCGGGTATACAATTTTTTTTTGAATCCGACCTCAATTTGAGGTCTAAATCCTCAAATTTCAAAATTCCTAAGTTCTACCCAAAAACACCAATTCCACCATGAAAAACCCTAGATTTTATGATGAAATCTTGTAAAAAGATGAATAAGATTGAAAAAAATAAGTTAAGAATCATTTACCTATGATTTGGGGAAGAAATGGTCTTTGGTAAATCGCATCTTGAAGTTTAGGTTTTGAAAAATGGGAGAATGAATGAAAAATCCCGTCCAAAAATTATTTTGAACAGTTGCAGTTATCGCATTTGCGATCACAGAAATGAGACCATTATTTCGCAAATGCGAAGCTTGGCCTGGCCTGCTGGCATCGCAAATGCGAACAAGTGTTCGCAAATGCGGCTCTGTTCTCATCACAAATGCGACGCTGAGCTTCTCAAATGCGAAGGTCCCCTCCCAGCCCTACTGATCGCAAATGCGAAGATTCTTCGCAAATGCTATGCTCGCATTTGCGAGCTGCAAAGTCCGCAGACCTGAACATACCAGCAATTTTCTTATGTTTCAAAACACTCCGTAGCTTATCCAAAACTCACCCGAGCCCTCGGGGCTCCAAACCAAACATACACACAAGTCTTAAAACATCATACGAACTTGCTCATGCGATCAAATAACCAAAATAGCACCTAGAACTATGAATTCAACACCAAAACGCATGAAATTTTTAAGATAGTTTCAAACTTTCTATTTTCTCAACCAAAGGTCCGAATCACGTCAAATCACTTTCGTTTTTCACCAAATTTCACAGATAAGGTTTAAATATTATAACGGACATGTACCGGGCTTTGGAACCAAAATACGGGCCCGATACCAATAAGATCAAATAAATCGTTTAAATCATTGCATTTTCAGTCTTATCGATGTTTTTCAAAAATTCATTTCTCGGGCTAGGGACCTCGGAATTCGATTCCGGGCATATGCCTGGGTCCCATATTTTACTACGGATCCTCCGGGACCGTCGGAACACGGGTCCATTTACCCAAAACGTTGACCAAAGTCAACATAAATCATCTTTTTAAGCCAAAAATCATCTTCTCTTAAAATTTTCACATAAAAGCTTTCTGGATATGCGCCCGGACTGCACACGCAAATTGATGAGAGATAAATGGAGGTTTTTAAGGCCTCGGAACACGAAATCGGATTCTAAAATAAAAGATGACCATTTGGGTCATCACACAAAACAATTGTTAAATGCAGAAAGTGACATCACTTGTCAAGAATTGCTGTGTAGCTCGTTCGGTCAAGAGCTTCATATTCAAAGGGTAGGTCGCAAGATCGAAGCCAGTGGCTTCACCTTAGTTTCAATAATTTTTTGAGCCTCATCTACATATATAAGCATGGTTTAAACCATTAGCCTATTAAATATTAACATAATACTAAAACAATGGATCAAAAATCACATTTTGCATATTTATGCAACACTAAATATTTAGTATTATTTAAAATGAGGTTGTTGAGTACATATAAAAAAATAAAAATTCACTTACTATTTTTGAGTTGTGTTTTATGAATATG